TTTGGGTTTTGGTTTTTGGTTTTTCAGAAAACCAAAAACCAAAAAACCAAAAAAACATACCCAACAGGCCAGACCAAAACCAACAGGGGCATGTTTTTTGTTTTTTTTGGTTTTTGGTTTTCTGAAAAACCAAAAACCAAAACCACAATTTTGGTTTTTGGTTTTGGGTCTGGCCTGTTGGGTCTGTTTTTTTTTTGGTTTTTGGTTTTCTGAGAAACCAAAAACCAAAACTCGATTTTTGTTTTTTGTTTTTTTAGTTTTGTTGATTCAATTGTTTTGTTTTTAACATTTGTTGTGTTTCCTTTTTTGCTTCTGAAATTTTTGATCAAAAAAATGCTTCAAAAAAAATAGACTGAAAATGAGCATTTTATATGGGAAATACCAGTGTTTTTGTTAAAAGGTTGGTTCTGGGGGGGGGGCGTGACCATATATATATATACATACATAGGGGTCCACATATCACTGGCCAACACTGAAAGGTAGTGAAGCAGCTTTTGCAATCCTTGAAGATCGTATGAGGACACTCTGAAATATGTGATAAGCTATAATTTTACCTTTCGGAAGGATCATCCAAGAATTCCAAAGGAGGCCACCGGACTCAAGGTCATGTCTGATTTCTTTGGTCGGTCATCTTCCACTAAAACTGAGGTCTTGCTGACAGAACCCGTGACCACCTCTTCAACCTGTTGAACACTTCAAGAAGAGCCAATTTCTGAAAGGTTTTGAAACGACAACGAATCAATCTACCTACCTCAACACATATCAATCAATCTTGAGCTGCTAACTAGCACAGTCTGTGTAGCCTTTATAGACAGCTTTTTGGAACAAAATATATCTTAGATCTTCAGGTAATTGGTCCACTCCCTTGATCACCACCCCGTTGCACCGTTAATGAGCGAGTGGAGCAGCGGATCTGTCCGGAACCTGGAGCACAAAGCTGGCTCAAATCCTTCAACCGTGGCACTGTGAGATGGCTCTTCAGTCTGGGAACTCTGAGATGATCAGGGATCAGGGCCGTTAGTCAAAAGGAATCACCACATCACCCAATAGTCATATATGATTGTAGAGGCCATCAAAATGGGCCAGGAACGAACATTGTCTTTCTCATTAATCATTTGTACGGCGACAAAAGCCACCAAAGAAAGTGCCCCCGAACGATCATGCACTGGGCGTCTGTAGCAGTCTAAAATAATTGGGACTGACATCTTGGAACATCGTGGGACCTCTCTCTCTCTCTCTGTGTCTAAGGCAAGGTAGACACAGCAATTGGAAGACCTGTTTATCTGCAATGCCATTGCTGCGGATGTCAGGATCATCATTCCAACTGAGTGCTATGTCAAACTGCAAGCAAAAACATGTCAATTTCCTTTGCACGAGGAGCTGGTTCTTTTGGACAGGCAGTCTCTACTTGTCCATAATACTTTGCTCTTCCAGTCATAGGCTGGAGGCAAGGGGAATGGTATCCGGTCAATGGCCAGAACTTTCCCTGGATGTCAATGCGAACAAGCGCACGTCGGTCACATGTTCGCACTTTTGTGACAAAATTCAACACCCGTGCAACAAGTGGGCAAAAAGACTTGTGCATGGTACTGCGTCATCAGAGTAGAACAACACATAATCCAAGTTGATTCAATTTGAGTAGTGTTCAAGCCTGTTACAACAACATGTTCTTGTCTAACATATACAGCATGACGCCATGCCGGGAAGTGGGTTTGAAAACACCCGCGCGCCCAGGCTTGACTCCAGCAGCTCGTCAGCCATTGTAGTTCCACCACGGGCCGGGCGAAGCTGCTGAAGGTGGCCGAAGCGGCTGAAATGCGAAGTTCTTCGAAGAAGAACGAAAATCAAGAACAATGAAAAGGTGGTGTTCCACCACCAAGGACAGTGATCCACACCTGCGACACAACCACATCACATCTCAAATTCGAGGTGAACGCAGCTATTTCGAGGATGTGAGGGATGTGTGCTGCAGCAGTTGCTTGGCAGACCTTGTCCTCCTGAAGATTGAGCACCAGATTCGCTGGCGGATTTGAGGGTGGGGAGTCTGCGTGGGAAGGTGGTATCTGCTAAAATGGTCTGAACTAAACACAGGGGTGTAGTAGATCTGGGCGATGGGAAATCTGAACAAATTGGAAGACAAACACATAAATCAGCTTCATCATCTGAGTGTCTGGGTGCCCCTCACCATAGCCACAATCTGTTGGCGTGCCTTTTCATTAGGAGCTTGCTGAGCGACTTCTAAGAGTGTGCGGCCCTTGGAAGTCTTCTGGCTCTGGTCAGCACCGGCACGGAGAAGTAGTGCGACCATCCGGACGTATCCCTTCTTCGCCGCAAGCAGTAGAGGACTCCTTGGACCACATTGCCTTCAGAATCTAGATATCTTTAGGAGTTTAGGATCCTTCAAGCCTCAGGACTCAAGTCTTAGTCTAGGTATCTCTGCAAGATCGATCTCGAACAGAGCAAACAGAAGCAAACAATCCAAGCCCAGGGACAGCTCTTCTGGTGCTCCAAAGATAAAGGATTGAAGGGAGGGCACGTGGTGCTGCTGCAGCGCATTTAAATTTATAAAGCCATGCCTGGCAAGGAACTGGCGAACCTCCTCTTGCCTCAAAGTTGCTCACGGCGAACAAATCAGGAGCAACTTGTTGCAAAACAATTGGATGATTGGATGGCCTAATGGCACCCCAGAAAAAGAACTTCTCATCCTCTTGCTTGTTTTCTTCTCGAGAAACGCGTTGCTTCATTTTTCCAAGTCGCTCTAGACGTTTGTTGGTGCGCCGCTTGATGCACCCTTGTGTCGGGACCGGATCATCGACCTCGGCATCTGCCGATGCCCAACCTGTAGGGATGAGGTGTGGCGGAGTGCCTTGGAGGACGAAACTGGACGACGATTTGGCAATTGAATAGTTAAACGACCAAATCCCAATAGCATGGAATATCATGGAATACACTCTGTTCTTTTCAAACATCTGACTCAGACTTCCTTACTCTGCGAGGCCGCTATTCTTTCTTGACTGTGAGAATAGACTCGTCGATCATGTCAGACATCTACAACAACACCCAGCTGCATGGGAGTGGATCTTCTGGCACTTCCAGACTAGGCTTCAAACAATGCTGCACATTTTGCAGTGGGTGAGGCGCAATGCTGGTTAGGTGGCACATCGACAGGATCCGAACTATCCAATCAGCCCAGGTGTTTGAGCCAAGAAATCAAGCTGCAGTCAGAAGGGAGTGGCTTGACGTGATGGCTTTCGAGGGGATGGCAAAAGTCTCCACAGTAAAGGGATGTAGAAGGCCATATCATGCATTGTCCAATCCCTTTGCTTTTTGCATCTCAGTAGTGGCTTCATCCCTGTCACTGGGTATGCATCCATGAAAACATGGTTCTACCATTCCTGCCTGCTGCTTCCGAAGAGCGCAATCGTGGCCACCGGGTCCGTGGCGGAGATCAAAGCGCCTTAAGCAGCGTATGTGTCCTTCAAGCAGGTCACAGGGACCAGTCTACGTCAAGTCATTCCGACAAAGGCATTGCTCAAAATGTATTCCATGAACTCACCGTAACAGTTGGAATAATCATCTAAGGAAGAATTTTCACCAATTTTCTGTAGCATTTCTTAGGATGGGGGTCAGATTGGAAGGTTCATAGAGTTGGACCAAGGCAAAAATTGGAGAGGTCTCCAGGCGCAAAGCAGATTTTAGTTCGATCCTTTGTGAGAGATCCGCCGACCCCACACCGTGGGGTGAGGCGTGACTGTCGATGTTGGCCTTAGCCTTAGGCCTTAGCCTTAGACCTTGGACCTAGTCCTTAGCCTTAGACCTAGACCTAGACCTTACCTCCCCTACCCCTCCGGACCCTTGTTGCAGTTACGAAAATCGCGCCCTGAAAGCTACCTGAGCGACCCGGGAATTGTCCAAGAACCTGCCATCCCAATTGATTTACATCTTGGGGCACCCTCTCGACCCGCGCGGGAAAATAAGCACGGTCCAAAATGGTCCTGGGCTCGAATCCCGGGCTGGTCGCGGCATGGTCCCGGCCAATGCCCTTGCTTTTTCGTAGATTTTGTCACGTTTTCTGTTGGTTTATGAGATTTTCAAAGGCTTTTCTGGCATTTTCCTAGGAATGCTCTAGGCTTTGTCTTTTTGGGTACCTGCTTTGGTGGTGCTGGGTTGGGTCTAAATTGGTAAACCTGGGAGGTACCCAAAAAGTCGACTTTTTGGGTACCTGCTTTGGTGGTGAAGGGTTGGGTCTAAATTCTTGGGCAATGATCGGGGTTCATGCAAGAGCTGACGTCCGATGGTAAATCTGGGAGGTACCCAAAAAGTCGACTTTTTGGGTACCTGCTTTGGTGGTGCTGGGTTGGGTCTGCACTCTTAAGGCTAAGGCTAAGGCTTAAGGCTAAGGCTAACATAGAGCAAGGCTAGCGCTAAGGTTCTATCCCTTGGGGGTCGGCGGCTGCAGGCGGTAGCCTGGTAAATCCGGGCGCCGGCCACGAAGCCCGTGCCCTGCCCGGAGGGCCTTCGGTGGTAACCGAAGGTTATATACGGGCGCGCCCCCTGCCGCCGACCCTCGGTCCCAAAACGGGGGGACCACCGGGTCACTGATATCAATGTAATTTACAATGCATCGTGTGTGTGAGGTATAAAAACACTGTGTTTTACAGGGTTTATTGCGCATATCGAAGTACGACGCGGGGAAAAGGGAAAAATGCAAAAATGCTGTGTTTTTCAAGGGTGGTGTCGGTAATGCGGGCCGGGCGGACAGGCTTAATCGACATTTTGTGGGTAGAGGCCCTCCAGACGATTTACATTTCCTAACATATCCCCAACATAGGCCCAAGATAGCCATCATATCCCCAACATATGCCCAACATAGCCTCCAAGATGGCTCAACATAGGCCCAACATAGGCCCAACCTAGGCCAACATAGGCCAACATAGGCCTAACATAGGCCGACATAGGCCCAACATAGGCTCAACATGGGCCCAAGATGTGCCCAACATAGACCACATGGGCCCAACTTGGCCCAACCTAGGGCCAAGATGCGCACCAGATAGCTTAACTTTGCTCAATATAGGCCCCACCAAGGCCAACATAGGCGCGACATGCTCCCCACAGACCCAAGTGGCCGGCGCCCGGCTGTTAGGCGTAAGCCTTTAATATCCGGATATCTGTTTGATGCTGAGGTGGTTTGCATGTCTTGCTGTTGAACTCGATGATGAATGGTGCATGCTTAGTCAAAGCGTGCGTAGAACATAGTCCTTCATAAAGTGTAAATCGGATGGTCCAATAGTCTAATATTGTCTAACTTAGAACCTGTACAACTTTGTCCACAAGGCCTCACCGAACTGCCCAAGGTCCGTGCCAAAAAGGTGGCAATAGATCGGCAGCAGTGGAGAGTCCTGAAGCCTGGGTGCCAGCCGCTTTGGATGTTTCCTTTGGCGCTTTAAAGCACAGTGTCTCTGGTCTCTGATTCCTTGTTCCTAGTAGCGTCCTTGCTCCTAGTAGCGATGCCCGTGTTCCTAGTAGCGATGCCAGGAGCTAATAGTAGGATTCTTGTTCATTTTTCACGGGTCTTTTCGTAGCAAGTGGTTGGAGGATCTTTCTTGGTGAAAGCATGTGTGTTTTTGCTTTGAATGGCCTCAGGGTTGAATTGACTGCTTGGACATGGGAATTGGTGACAAAGCCGGTGCTCAATTTGGATTCGGCTAACAGGAGTTGTTGACAGTTGGACAGTTGACGGATGGCATCGTAGCTGCAGGATGGATTTGAAATACAATCAAGCTTCCTAGCTACAAACAGCAAGCAGAAGCATATAGAAGCACTAGCCACAGTCCCCACAACATGGGATGGGCGGTGCCGCAGTGCTTGAATTTCAGGAGCAGTGGAGCAGAATCGAATCTCTACGTGTGTCCCGGCAAACATGACGCGAATTCTCAAGGCGAGACACCCAATGAGCTCTGTCTCAGCAGCCCAGCGCATGCTGGCGCTCACCACCTCAGTGTGGAACCGATCTCCGAGATGTGCTTCGAGATGTGATGAGAATGCCGCAATCCACGGTGTCATGCATTCCTCAGAAACCCTCTTGGAAGGTCAGAGGCATTTCAACGACTTGATTCATATCGGTGAAAGTAGAAACATCGAACGCTGCTTGGCAGGTTTCTGCGAGGTGTATATCTCGGATGTCCCAATCGACCTCTGAATAAGTGGAGTTATGTGTGACATTGTCTGACTTTCTTTCTTTCTTTCCTGCTGGGCCAGCCGATGGTCTCCCATTACAGTTACTCCAGAAACTCTGCATATCTATGGGGGAATTTTGCTACCAGTAGCTTCAAGGTCAAGCCATGGAACTACCAGTTCCTGAGAGGGACCCACATGAGAGTCGGATACGATTGCCGACTGAGTCTATGCCCATGGCCCAAGTGCTGACGAGCGTGCCAACCTCGGCAGGAATGAGTTGTCCCTCCTTCGTTCAGGAAAGAAGCGATGGCCTCCACCCTAAGAGCGATGGCCTCCACCCTAGAGGCCCTAGAAGCAAGAAATAAGAAAACAAATTCTCTGCACGAAGTCTTCAACTAGGAGGGGTGCTCTCTTCTTGTGAGGGATGGCTGTAATCAGCCTGTGAATATGTCATAGAGTCTTCGAGGGAACGTGCACTGGAGCAAATAGATCGCTGCAAGTTAAGCTCCGGAAATCCAACCCTCCCAAAAAATCAAAGGACTATGCATGTTCCAAAAACTTTGACTTATGTGAAGCAACCTCTTCGTGCATCGGAATGCCGGGGTCTACGTCTATCTAATGCTCAACTGAAATGTGCAATAAGTGTATGGCAGACTGTAAAAGTACAAAAAAAGTGGTAAAAGCGGTAAAAACAAGACCATGTGACAGCCAAATATCCCCGGAGTGTGTCGAGTCTTCACTCTCAGCTGTGGTGCAACGGCAAAGGCCATGATGGAGCCTCAGGTCGGATGGTGCGAAACGGCTTGGGCAGACTGAAGGCTCCAGTCTACGGGAAGCAAAATCAAGGCACCTTTCAGTATTGGTGACACAAAACCAAACTTGATGAAGCAGGGAGCCTTGGGCATGGACCTCAAAATGGTCACCAAGGTCCCCCTTATAATCCTTGTGGAAGCCATCTGCACTGCAAAAAGCATATCAAGCTAGCTTCCTTTCTCTGTACAATGTCCCAAGGGGCCGAGGTTGTCGACGAAGAGCTGGGTTTTGAGCGACCTTAAAGTGCAGGCGGGCTTTCAGGAATGAGACGGGGCAAAACCTTACACAAAGGCACAGATTTCTGTGTGCTGAATGTTTTGAATCAAGGAGGCTGTATCTAGGGACGCATCAATTTGTGGTCCAAAGACTTTGAGCTTTGCCAAGTCAGAATATCTTCACGACATGCAACATGGAAACCCTCTTCAACACAGAGCATGGCAGCGATGCTATTTTTTGAAAACACAAACATAACTATCATTACTTGTCTACATGTTGGTGTGTAGCGTGTAGTTATGGACAAAAGGACTGTACTACGTGCGGATCTGGCAGGTATGGGTGAACAAAGCCATGGCGAGATTGTCTCAGCAATCTTTCTCAAAGTTGGCAATCTGGAATCAACATTGAAAGTAAGTGCATCTATCCTTTGGCTGTGCACATCAAAGTGCAAATGGCCCTCAAGCTTAGTGGTCGGCAAGCCCGCTTCCAGGATGATGGGAGGAAGAAGGACCTGATTGTGGTACTCCGCAGTGGAGTCTGGTCACACGACACTGCAAGAACTGGAACTGAGGACATGTAGAGCGTGCCATTGTCCGACTGTGGTCAGTGGCCTGCTGTTGGTCTGTTCGCCATCTTCGAGAATGAATGGAACCGTTCAGAAAGAGTGCTTTTTGGCAGAGTGCACACTACCACCCACATACCTCATCAACTAGGATCAATGCCCATGTTTATACACCTACCGTTGGTGACGATCCAAGTGGTGGAAAACAAACAGCCTCCAGGGTATCGCCATGTTTAAGCTGCTAATCAAAAGAACATCCTTTGCTTCCAAACAAAAGATTGCACACTAGACCAAACATAACTCACTATATAAATAGTCCCTCCCAACTTTCGACGATTTACCATCAATCACCACAGTCTTTGAACAATCAGTGCTTTCAAAAAAGCCACATCATTTCACACGCAAGTTGTCGTCATTAAAAGAACCAATGCATATGACATGACATCACATGCTATGCATATTATGCATATTGAACTACTCCTCGCATGGTTCTCGAGGAGAGAGGCAAATGGAGCGATCAATCCAAATTGCCGGCAATAATAACTATCGACAGAGACACTTAGCATCCCCATGCATCCCAAACCAGCATCCGATCAACTGCAATCTACACATCAGGGCGCAGGCGTAGAAAAAGAAGGAACCCCTGAAGTGCCAGCGAAGATCGAAGAGCGATCTTTTGACATGGTGAGTATGCTCAGGCGAATATGGTCAAGCAAGTGGATCCCATCATCAAAAAGAAGTGGATCCCATCAGGTGAACTGAAGAAAGTTGACTGAGACAAGTGAAAAATATGTTGGCCTCTTTACAGGCTTTCCGTTTGGGGCCCCGCCTAAAGTTCAGCAAGGCTTCTTCTTGTTCGAGTTGAAGAGCCTTGTGAGTCATGCAGTTCACACAAAATGCAAATCTTTGAGCTTTTTCCCGGAGGCTGATAATGACTGTCAGGTTTGGGTATGCTCACTGCAAGATGACAGCCCAGGTCAATAAGACATTGCAGCCTTTCGCTTCGACTGAAGCTCCGTCTCCAAAATCCGTTTGCATTGAGCGGTCCGAGCGAACCGGAAGAACCGCCTACGCCACCGCGCCCTTCTCTTGGTGCGCTGGCTCGGACCATGCAGCCCACCAGGAAGCCAAGGCTCATTGCCTTGGAGCGTCAGGTTTGCTTCTGCTTTTTGGGATGTTGTATGTTATCAAAAAATATCAAAACAAACACGTGGATGGCAGGAAAGGCACACCTGAAGCAACCAATCTAGTCTGAGAGTTGCACGGCGCCGCTCTCCGGTAAGTGCTTCAGTCTGTGCCTCGGCTCTTTCCACTGATGGACAACTCTGATGTGCAAACCTGTTCATATTCTTTCCTCCGGGAGCTCTGGAAAAGAATGTGGTATGTTTCTTTTCGATCGGGGAAGCGATAAGGGAGCCAAAAGAACAAGTTCATTTCTGTAAGCGAGAGGTGTGAATAGACTTTACTGAGCACAGTAACAAGTTCTCGCGGCGCATTTTTCTGGCGACACACGCTCAAGAGTTCAGGGATATGGCAAGGCCGAGATCCTGCACGGACATGAAGCGGAATGGTTCAAGGTTCTTGGCCATGCTACGTATGCAGTGCTGCCATTCTTCTTCATTTTCACAAAATCCGTGCGTGTCATTGTGACCACAAGAAGCTTAAAACTTGTCCTCTACAAAGCGCGCGGCTGTTGTTTGTGCTTGGCATCTTTCTTGCATTTAGTGCTGAGCAGGTTTTCTGTGGGTTTATGGAAACTCCGACTCCAGCTGGCATCCTTGACTTGAGCACTTGGATATCTAGATGTCCAACGGCACTAAGCCGGTTCCGGATGTTTGCACTAGTTCCGGCTCCCTGAAGTGGGCTCTGAACTACTCCACTACTTACCCACTCTGGAGGAACATTCTGGCGCCACAGCTGCAGTGGGTCACAGTGTGACGGATACTGCATCCAAATATTTACTGGACCCGAACTCCACAAATCAAAACGTCCAATTATCGTCAACAGCGAATCTCATCCCAAACCCATTTGTCCACCAAATGTGCCGTCCTTCGGCTGCTCAGCCTGAACTTCACCGGAACGTCCGGTGGAAACACGTGCATAAGGAACACACTGACTGAGGTCCTGAATATGGAAACCGTGTTTCAACACCCTCGTTGCAAGGTGATATCTCGCACCTTAAATGAGAACATGTGAGGCAGTTCACAACGGCGCACGAATTGCGAGGCTACCCCTTCGGACAATCTGCTTGTGAGGTGGTATCACCCTCACCTCCTCTAGTCCAAGAGGCCATTCTCAAGTGCACATGTCCCCCAACAAGGCTACTCTCCATTTCGTGCAACTGGGCTTTGTGGATCAGGCTTATAGAGGATATCCCCAAATCAAGCAATCTGCTTGTCCAATCAGCACCTTGGAAAGGAACATTTATTCCAAAAAGCAAAATCCGATTGACAGTGTACACAGAGTATCTGAATCATCATGCGTCTCCAACTCCTCAAACCTCAATCACACATTCTTGGCGACTTTGTGCCTGTGATCATTGTGCCACGGATGGATTGCAGATGATGTTGAGCCTCCTGCCCACGAATGGACGGAAAGTGGAATCTTATGTGGTGTTGCCTAGCCACGACCATCATCTGTTGCTGTACTGAGTTGAGCAGTGAGTTCGTTTTGTCGAGCTATCCAGTTGACAGCTTAAAGGTCCCGTATTATTATACAATCAATATACAGTACATGCATATGTCAAACATTGCCAACACGCCTCAAAGACTTACTTTCTCATACTCACTTAATTCTTGAGATCGCTATTGTGATAGAAGGCTCCCATTGATAGGTTCAAACGAGGATGAGATCCTAGTGTGGTACCGATTATGCTGTACGCCTCATATTGGGAAAAGGTTCCTACAATGAGAAAATGTATTTTTATGAGCACAATTCCAATCCCTGCAAGGCTCTTCATGTATTATGCTAAGGCCTTTGCCAGGACATTGTGCCTATTGATGCTCATAGATTTGATGCAAAGGTATGATCCAAGCATATATATATATTTATACTATGGAAGTACTATGTGTTACTATGTATTCCCCGTGACAACTAAAACTACGTGCATGTTGCTGTCATTTTTTCCGTCAATTGCATATCCAAAATCAACTCGCTTTGCCGGCACAACATATACGTTGAACAAATTGAAATGCCAAAGGCAACACACTTTCCGTGGAAATTATCGACACTGGCTGAACTCCTGCCTCGTTCCCGCGGTCGGCGGCCTTTTCCAGCCAGGCGACCCCGGCCTCCGTTGCTCAAACACGTTGATTCTTCTGATCTGAATGCGGAAAAGGACACGGTAAATGTACCAGTGATCGAACAGCAAAAGCCCTCATACAAAAAGAGCTTTCCTCCAGCGCCCTTTCCTCCCATAGATCCTTTTGAACCTTTGCATTCTGCAACCTCTAGATCCATCTAGATTCTAGATTCACCCACATTCTGCCTCCATGTTCATAGGAATCGAATCCCCGCAGTAAAGCATCCAACCTGAGCGATGCGGAAATGTGGCCAGGGTCAAACGAATTGGCGCACATTAGACAGGAGCAGGAGCCACACGTGACACGCTTCTCTACCAAACTGAGCCAAAGTCTGAAGTAAGAATACAACCAGTTGGGCTTGGATTCATTTTGACTCACGGTTGAAGTTCTCCCATGATCTCCGATGCATGTTTAAACTGCATCTGCTCCAGCAATTTGCAGGTTCTTATGCAAGTCAAGAGACTGTGTTCTGTTAAAATCTCTTTTCCTGATCATCAGGACATGTTGGTGGAGGGTTGGTTGATACACTTTGTTCCCCTCTGGATACGGGGTCCACTGCCTCAAAGCAATTGTGGGAAAGGTACAACGTATTGGGTGGGCAATACATGCTACCAACAAGGGACATTCATTGCACAAAGCCACCAAAGCCAGATGGTTTAATCTATCTGCCATGCCCGGATTGGTTCCAAGCTCCCGGGCCAATGTTGTTCTGCGCCTCTGGGAGTTCCTTCCGAAACATAACCATCCGCTCAGAGTACACTGAGTGCATCTTAGAAACAGATGTGAGTTTCTGTCGTTCTTAGATGGAACAAGCTTACAGCGAGAAAACATCTGAAATGTAGATCTGCCAGAAATGTAGACCATTGTAGACCTTCTGAGACTTCCCAGGATACTAAACTAAACAAAACGAGTCCGTTTGAGTCAGTTGTAAGAGCACAATATGCCATAGGGTCCCAGTTTGTGCCCCTCAGTCCTGCTCCGCGGCCTTCAGGAACCATGTTGCCGCCGAGCGCCTGGCAAGCCACAGGCTTTTTTCCGCTTTATGTTCATCTAGCAACCTAAACTGCTCAAAGGCGTGCTTTAGTAATAGTACCTCCTTCGATTTTGAAACCCAAACTGCAATGTAAAAAGCCACTCGTATTTGAACGTTTCCTCATACACCCCTGGCTAAAGACAAAATCCTTCCATGCACAGAAGATATCTAGTGTATATATTTTCCCATTTGGTAGCTTGCTTTGTTTTACAACTGTAACAAAAACATGTGCTAGTAGCTTGGGGCCAAACAATTATGCTGCCCCATGTTATTTCAAGCAACCAGGTGCTTGAAACCGAAGAAACAAAGCATCGACAACATGAACCTCCAGGCCACAAAGAAAGGCTGCCTCCCTTTTTTGGTAAACAATTGCACAATGTAACGTCCTCTGGGTGGGCGCTGTAGAACTTTAAAGTAAGCCTGATCATTGTGCAAAAGCACCATCTTACCAGACAAACCATCTCACAATTTGCATGACAAATGAAAGTTGAAGTACGACCAGGTCATCACCTCAAGCGCCAAAACGAGCTGCTGAATGAGGTGCCCACCTGTCGCTGTCAATGCCCTCCCCGAAGTAGAGCTTCACACCCAAGTTGTGCATCGACTCAGGGTGACCCTGCGAGCGACGACCGAAACGACCTGTTTGCCCGAAGCGACCGAGTGTGTGACACTTTCGGCCCTTGTGCGCGAACTTCAAATCCTAGGGCTCTATATAAAGAAGCCCTGGAAGCACCCAGAAGCACCTGCTGGGCTGCTGCGGTCAAGAACCGGAAGGCGTATTGCTCGTCAGCTTCGATTCCGTCACCCTGGAACAGCATCCTGCAGATGGGGAGGCGTCTTCACATGTGGCAGGCCAATATAACTGGGGTTCGCAAGAGCAGGGCTGGCGCTAGCAGTGGCGATTGATTTGTTGTCAATGTAACAACAAACTACTAATGTCCAACAAAGATTGGTTGAATAACAAGTAAACTTCATCTCCACATCTATGTAACATTGCGATGTGGCCGCACTAGTCAAATGCCCTCCTGGTCTCCTACCCTGATCAATAACTTGCACATAAGCTGGTTGTCTGAACATCTATGAATTACGAAGAGCTCCTTATGAACCTAGACGTACAAATCCAAATCCAAATCACCAAGCAGTTGAGTTGCACAATCCACACCAGCAACGGTAAAGTACACACAAACTACTAGTATATCAAACATATTCAAACATTATCAATCTATCCCCGTTCGCACTCGTCCTGCTGATCTGGTACTGTGCCTCATCGAGACCGGCTTGGGCTGCCTGCATGAACCAATAGCTGGCCAAGGCCTCACAAAGCCAATAAGAAGGTAGGCCTCACTGTTGCGATTCTTACAACAAACGGAGCTTTACGGTATGACCCAATGCCGTGAGGTCGCTGTGGACTTGGATATTGCTAGCGGTGTTTGCTCTGATAGTCTAGGCGACGTGGAAATACGTCGACTTCTGAAAGGTGGACTGCAGTGTAGTTTGCGGAGAGGTTCTATCGTCGATCTTCGAAGCCAGGTGGGCAGATCGACGTGCCATCGGTGCCTTGTCCAGCTTCACATGATCACCTTCGTAGTGCATCATGCCCAACTTGAACCTCGCGGCGGTTAGAACGGTTTTTGGCAAGGATGAGTGTACCTCTGGTTGGTAGGCATTCCAAGATTCCAACCACTTAGAAACCTTGAAAAGGCAACTGCTTGCATGATGTCTCCTTGCAGGCCCAACTGTAGACAGGACCCCAAACGGATGCTCTCATTGCCAAGTCTTGTGATCACCGGAGCATCTGTAGACTGAACCATGAACAGTACAATTCTGGGATATTCTGGGGCTCCGGCTGCGCATGAGTATTTCCATTTTCTGCCTAACATCCAGGAACGGTGGGGCCCTCGCCGCATTGTGTTTTGAACGTTAGAAGCTCGTCTATTTTCCATCTCTTTTGAACTGTCCTGCAAAGACATTAGCAAAAGCGGCTTTTGCAAGCGAAGCCTTTTCAACCTTTTTCCAATTCAAGCGAAAAAGGCTAGGTGCTACAACGTACAGAGCTCTTTCATTCCTGTGACGCACCCACAACCGTCCAACAAGTGCTGCCAGCAGCCACCAAAAGCCAAAACCAACCGGACAAGCATGGTCACGCACAAGCTTCAAGCTGGCCTTGCCTCTTTGGTAATTCGGTCCACACCCATCTCTTTGGGATCGTAATCCTTGGGAAAAGGCCATTGGAATGAACGATGAACGTCCATCGTGGGTCATCCATGGGCACCTCATTTCGCCTTATTTCCTCGCACTAACGAGGAAATTCATTTAGTGATGAACGAAGCCTGACATCCCACCTTAGCAATGTCTAAAGTCTAAAGGAAACCATAAATGATCAAACATGTCTACTCATGTACTCAATGTAGCGATGGCCTCCAGCCTAAAGGAACCAATATATATAAATGATCAAAGATGTCCACTCATGATCTTCATGGGTGAGGAACTGAAATCGTTGGGGCAAACACACCCAGCGTCCAGCCATGGCCCAGAGCCGAAGATCTTCACGTTCTTACTGCGCAGGGCCTGCCCCACATGAATACAGTTCAATGAGTTGTTGGCATTTGAACCCAGGAGAGGCTATTGGCTGAACATGTGACCGATCTTATGCAACACATTGAAGTTTATGACAATGACTCATAATTCATAACTGCAGTATGATCCTCACAGTCCAAACTCAAACATTGTAAAACACAATGCACTCTCCTGGTCCTAATTCCATCTTCTAAAAATAACTACAGTATCTAGCTGGCACAACGGGCAAAGCGAATTAGAACATTCATTTCTTGGAACAACACAACTTGCTCCACATCTTCGCACTTTCTCGTCTCTTCACGCTCTCTCGTCTCCTTGCGGTGCCCCTTCTCTGCAGCTCGCAGGGTCCATTCCTTGGCCTTCAAGGCGTCCTGGCGGAGACCTCAGCACATCGGTTTCGAACTCGTTCACATCTTTCACAGAATTCGCAAGAGAATTCAAGCGGAATACTGTTCTTTTTGTTTCAATAGTTGAGAATTCAGAATAGGAATTTCCAATAAACTTCTGAGATCCGACCTTTGAGGGAATATCGTTGTCACTACGACTAGGGACCAAAACAATCCCAAGCCAACTCATAGCATCCGCTGTTTCAAGTTTCAATCAATCCTGACAAGCTGCCAATTCCATGTTGATACCTCGAGGGCCCAGGCAAAGCAGCGAACCAGGATAAGAGTTGTAAGTTTCTGTGGTTTCCTATTTCCTATGTATTCATTCATGATCTTCACAGGTTTCATTGGTGGTCTATCTTCCACCAGTCGTGAGGGCCTATGAGGCCCTTCCCTTGCACAGTGAGCTCGCTTCGACAAACAACTTATGCTTGTGGGATCTACGATTCCAAGCTAATCCATCTCGACCTTAGACCTTTCAATTTGGTCGGCATGACCTACTGCCAGGGAGGGTTCAGCAACGTGGTAGAGCGATGTATTTCTCCTTGCCGTTGTGTATCTGTTTGCTCGGTGCGATGACTGACACCAAGCGCTTGTTGGTGAATATGCAGCCCTATCTTACAGACTCGATTTGGTGGTAGGCTCGCCTCGCCTCCCAAGCCAAGAAGTCAGGGATTGCAATGGTCTTGAAGAGGCATATATAGCTCCGAAATTCAGGACTTTCACTTCCACATCTAGCTGAGGGTCATCAGCGCCAGGTTGTACATAGCTTTGTTCTCTCCTTTTTGTGCAGCCTGATGCAAGAACTGTGCAGCGCTCAGCTCATCTTTCTTCACACCTTCACCTTGGCTAGTTTGGCTGTTGGAGAGGGTTTCAAACATCCTAAGTCGAGAAAATCGTTTCGATGAGGATTGAGGTCCACAAGCTCCACTAGGCGTTCCTCGGCAATTTGCTCACGTTTCCGAACAACTCACTCCGATCTCAACCGGTGGCCATTCAGCAGCATCACGCCCAAAGCGTATGCGCCTTTACCTCAGAGATCGGATAGGTCGGACGAGGCACCAAAAAGGTGCAAAAGGATCCTTTATTAAAGCAGTAGATTCTTAGTTTTCACACACACACACACGTATATATATAATTATATGTATATATATATAGTAATATATATTATATATCTATATCTATAACAACTGTGCAAATTGCATCGAACAAAATTAACTTTTTGCACCTTCCCAAATTACTGCTTGTTCCAATCGTTATATAGATATCGTTAGTGAGTCCATTATTTCAGGGTTCAGGAATTTGGTTGGCTTACTCCATTGTCTGGCGCTTCCAGAACTCTCATCGAATCTTTCCCCCAATAAATTCATTTCGATTTGAACCAGAGAGCAAAAAAGAAAACTCAGTGCCTCAGCCTCCACCACCGTCCCTGCCGCATGCCCATGGATCCCTGGATGTGCACTCGACAGCTTTCAGGGCACCGTGTCCATGGAGTGCTGCAGCCCGAAAGCCCTGAGCGGCCTCCGGCAGCTGCTTGGCGCGGTAAAGGCGCAATGCTCTATTGTAGCTGCTGCGGCCTGCTGCCTCGTTGAAACTCCGCGTGTTCAAAGGATCGAGAAGGACAGCGTTTTCCAACAAAATTTCAGGTACATAACTCCAACAACTTCTCCAATTTCACTAATCGTCCAACATCAACTCTGAAGTATTGGGATACATGTTCTACTTGAATGATCACCACAATTTGACCTATCTCATGCACCGGCAAGTTGAACTGAGCACATGATTTAAAGATGTCATCTTCACCACGTCTTGCTCGATTCTGTCCGGCCCTACTGGCCTCCATCTCTTGGACTGTCACCTCTGGCACGATCTTCTCCTTCTCCGGCTCCGCTTCGCTGAGCGGCGGGTCCAGGAACCTCGGCAAGTCTCGCTTTTCCAGGTTCCTAACATCAATTGTCTGCTCGACAAAAAAGGCATTCGAAGGTCGAAGAGTCTTTCACCTACTCTTTTGGTGAGTCTAAAGGGCTGTGCCAGGTGACTTATACAGTTTTGCTCCATGATGCTCTATCTGACCTCCATGTGAGTTCGCTCTGTCACATCAGTGCAGCAAAGGCGCCAGCTCCCAGACGCATTGAAGAGTGTCAATGTCCTGACATCAAAGAGTGACGTAACTCCCGTAGTTAGCTCAGCGATTGCTGAGATCAGGTGAGTTGGTGAATCCCATTTTCGATCAAAGACATTATAGCAATGCAGCAAAAGATTCAACTGCAAATCCAAATCAAGTCACCATGGCCAGTCGCGCACTGACAAAAGAAACTGACAGACTCTTCTGCCCACGGGGCTGATATTCTGTTTGTTTGGGCAAAGAATCTTTCTGAGAAATACACACATGATCAAACAAGGTGTTCTGCTCAACGTGAGTATCATGTAGTCTTAGACTGCTAATGCATGACAATGCCTCCTACACATTTGCCCCAGCGGATGTGGTGATTTGAAGGTTCCCGAGTTTTCATCTATATGTATATATAGTATATATATCCAAACTTATACTTTAGATAATGTCAACAATAAGTGCCCCATCCAAGCTCCACTGCCTCCCTCACTCAACAAGAGCAGACTATAGCTACAATATAACGAACACACATGCATATCAACCCTTGGCACTTGAGCGGGTGTGTGTCTTGCCCATCGGAAAGCCAGTGCCGCTGCTTTGGTCGGAGTTGAGCGTCTAGATGTTTGAGTCTCCCCACATGTATACCGGCATCCCAAGTACTGTGATGATAAGAAACGCAATCACCGGATTAATGACCCCCCTCGACGTTTGCTAATAGGGGGGAAGTGAGGTGTTTTTTTCTCTTTCTCGGTGGACAATCAGGAGAGGCCACCAAGACTAATTCCTTCATGAGGAGAGGCACCTTCATGAGGATGAGGGATTGGTGAAATAATAAGTGCTGGAATTGAATTGGAAAATACATTTTTAATTGGCAATAGGACCATAGGATGAGGGATTGGTGAAATTGAAGGGGTTGAAGAAAGGACAGAAAGTAGATTAACTAACTGGGAGGTGTCAAACAATTGCCTCCCCAGAAAGGTGGACCAAACTAATTGCGGTGGTTTGGTCAGAAAAAATCCAAAATGTATAGAAACAGCCGTTAAGCTGCAACTCCTGTTTTGGGCCGCGAGCTGCAAAGGTGAAGTCAACATGACATCCTACTATGTGCAAGGTACAAAGTGTACATATTACATGGAGTGAAAATACACCCCCCTCAGCTAAGGTAGCTTTGCTCCCGAAGCTGGACGCGGAAAGTGCACGAGGGCTTGTGCAGGGCACGACAGTGATGTCGGCTCAAAGCTGCATGGCAGTTGTGGATGCTAGCAATCCACTGCCAACGTGGCCCTGTACGTGCATTTTAATTATTCACTCCCCGCCGCCAAAAGAAATTGAAAGTTTGGACTTGGGAGGAAAACCGCATACATATTGACAATGGATGTCATGCAATGAATTATGCTCGCTCAGGCAAAAGGTTGAGACTTGGCTCAACTAACGCCAATGCCACTGGCTCCGACTCGAGCTCCAGTCCCACGAACGGCGGTCCCACTGCCGCTGCTCGCCCCACTCGCTCCAGTTCCATGAGCTCCATCCCCACGAGGACGATGCTGATCCGGATGCACGTGGGCTCACCGGTGAGGGTGGCGGACCTCCTTTTGCCTTTGAAGCTGGAGTTCCATCACCTCCGGTAGAGGACTTGCGCTTGCCCTTGCTTTGCTGCTGGCGCTGCTCTTGAGTCTGCTTGTTGACCACGTCACGCCTGGCAGCGGAGAGGTTGTCATGGCATAGCTGGCGAAGCTCCTCCAATGCGCAGTATTGGTTCATCTGATGCACGCCGTCCCAAGCCAAAAGGCCACGATGGGAATCAGGTGAATTAATGTACTCGATGTACTCACGCAAGGAGAGAATGTTTGTGCGATAGATCACGCACCATTGCTCTGGAATGTAATCCATAGCTTGTGGAAAGCGATCGGGCACTACATCGATGTAGGCCAGCCGTGCCAAAGGATGATCTTCGTCATATCCGAGGCCCAGGCTGACTTGCGCTTTGTTGCGCGGTGGGTTTGCCAAGTGAGCATGGCAAAGCCAATCCTGCCGCTGCGCTGCCCGATAGTCATAGCCCATTTGCAGCATTCGTTCCATGAACTGGACGTCATGCTCGAAGCGGTCCTCGATGCTTTGGAAGCCACACTTGTCTGCACCTTCATTCGGCTGCGAGCATCTTGGATCATAATTGCTTCTGGGCTCATGTTTCCACGGCCGCTTGCAGACACCACACGCAAATTGAGGCCCGCCTTGATGTAGTCGCTGACTGGGCACTCAGTGCGAGCGAGGCCTGCCCTCGCAAGCTGCTGCTTTCGGAGAACTGAAAGTCGGGTGACAGCTTCCTCCGGCAGCTCGGTGTTGGTGGCAAGTTCGGCTGAACAAATGTCGCAGTGGGTCATGCCCCTGAGGACTAGACCCTTGCACTGGCTGCACTCGACCTGGATCACCGTCAGCTTTCGTCCCTTCCGAAGCGTCGGGGCGGTGATTGGTGCATCAAAGCCAGGTGGTGGCCCCGCAGGCTCAGGCGGAGCATAGCCGCTGTAGGATGCAGCAGGTCGATCTTGCTCTGCCTCATTTGCAATGGAAGTTGGCGGAGTCGAAGGTGCAGCCTTGCTTGCAGGTGCCGCTTTGCTGGTTGCAGTCAGGGAAACAGGCATTGCTTTTGCGGTTGGCCGGGGCTCGCCAGTGATGGCGGCCCGGCTCTCACCTCCATCCGCTGTTGCTGCCTCGGGTAGGCCTACGGCACTTACCCTGGTCCAGAGTGTGGACTGGCTTTCGGTGTTTTCGACGGAGACGATGTATTCTGGAGGTACCGTGTCAACCGTCATGATTCCACCGGAGCGGTTCTGGAAAAAGATGAGACCGCCATCGACTGCTTCCCGAAGTGCAACGGTAAGCTGAATGGGGTGCTTACCGCGGAGACCGCTTTGATAGTCGGTCTCCGTAATGCGACTTGCAGCCAGGTAAACATGGGCTCGATCACTGCCAACAAACTCGCCCCCGCCTGGGATGAGGCCCTCCTTGACGATCCGCTTCCAGCACGCTGGCCTTGTGCGGTGGTAGGCCAACACAGGGATCTCATCCGCTTTGGCAATGGGCTTCCCAATGAAGGGAGCTTTGGCTTCTGGCCTGAGCGCAGGACTGCAGTACATCAGGGCTGCCGATCTGTAGTTGTCCTGTGCGCTCTTGATTGCGCGCTTGCTTTGGCCAGCAGCGGCGCGCATCTTCAGAGGCCATAGTGCCACGCCCTTCTCCTCGAGTTTGTGCCCTTCTCGAATGCCCAAAAACTCGAATCGGTTTTTCTTGTCCTTTGCTGCTATGGCGATCAAGTCTTTGACGGTGAGCGGCGGGGCACTGCGGTGATTCAGGCCGAAACACCTGGCTACTTCATCCAAGTCTGCGTAGCCATCTTCGTCGACCTCAAGTCCCAGGAATTGGTCGTGTTGTCGGACGACCTTGGATAGCTGGGTAAGCCAATCCTTGAGAGGTTTCGCGAAGAAAAGGTGCCCGCCATTGAGCTCCCACCCGCTCGCAAAGTGGAGCGGCAATTGCTGGTCACCAAGCTGGACCACTTGCTGGAAAGCGCCGTCGATCTCGGCCATCCGGTATGCATACTCGGGATATTGATCTGCAAGATATTGAGGGCACACAACGTGGCCTTCAGCAGCAGCCGGTGGCGATGAGGGTGCTTCAGGCTCGGGCTCACCCTTGACGGTGGCCGAACCTTCTTCGCCATGAGGTGCGCTCTCATCTTCAGGTTCTTCCGGCACGACCTCATCATATGGCGATACCTCCTCATCGTCATTGGCATCAATGTCGAGCCATGCTGCCGGGTTCTGACCGGTTTCAACACGGTGGCTGAGTTCCTCAAGCGTTTGGAGCCGACCCTCATAGGTTTCTCGGCTGATGTCCAGCTCTGCAGCGATCTTCTCCTGCTCTTCCTCCATGACTTCGCGGCGTTGCTGGAGGATCTTTTCTGCCGTGGCGTCATTTGCGACGAAAATCTCCGAAAGGTCTGGATCATCTTCCTCCCCTTCGGGCTCGTCATCGATGACGGCCATGTCTGCCTCGGTAATCGGCGCAGCTCGGTTTGGCTGCTCCGCAGCGACGTCCTTCTTGGTAAGGGCGCGAGCGGTGAGCTCGGCTGCGGCGATTGCCCTTTTGTGGCGGACATCGGCAAGGTTTCGAAGTAGCTCTTCGTATCGCTGATTTGGAGGGAGGCGATCATCACGAAGTTCCAGCCCACCAAGCGGACGGTTCATCGGACTGGTGGCAGCTACTTCCAATGCGATATTTAGAGCCTCATGAGCAGGTGAAATACACTCTGACAAAAAGAGAACATATGATTTGCATTCTCGTCTGATTTTTCGCAATGCCATTGGTCACGCAAGTCCATGCGGGTGTTGAGGACGTTGATGTTGACCAGGCGGAAGCGACACTTACCGACCTGGGAACCATAAACTTCGTCCTGGAACCACTGACTCAGCCGGTTGTACCAGTCGCTGTAGGGTCCCAGCCGCGTGAAGTTGTAGGTCTCAGGATCGGGCGCGCTGATGAGAGCGGCCGAGTGCACACCGTACCGGAACATGTCGGCGGCAAACCCAACCAGCTCTTCTTGCACCTTCTCCTGTAGCTCCATGTAGTGGTCGCCGTCAGGATGATCGAAGGGCCATGAAGTCTGAGCTTCAATTCCTTTCTTGCCGATGAGCTCGTTGCCGGACCACACCACGCCCACCAGCAGCATACAGCCTGGGAATTGGCGTTTGAGGTTCCTCACGGCAATACGGGCTCGTTTCAACAGAAACGGCAACTCTGCACCCCAGAGGCATTCGTGATGAAAATGCTTGCAGTAAGTTGGACGATAGGCCTGAAAGTGGTCGGCCAAATCGAACCTCTGGGGTTGGCGTTTCGAACCGCTAACCAAACACAAGGTGGAGTCGGAGATCAAGATGTGTACCGTTTGGTAGTCTTGACTCGTGGGCACACCTGTGAAGGCGGCTAGATCATACCGTGAGGTCCGAATCAATGGACCCAACTCCGGCTCTAGCCATGGG